TGACATTTCTGTCAGCTATGGTTGGTGTAACCGTTGTTTCGGATATGATTTCATTGTCATATACATATATGTATGAAAAATCTTTAACAACATTAACAAGATTCATTGGATGAAAAACGCTAATAGGACTGACAATTGTATCAATATATTTTTGATTAACGAAAAACGATAAAGTTTGTTTGGTCTTTTGTCGCTTGTGACGACTGAATTTTGCTTCAAATCGAATGCTCGCTTTTGTAGAGAAACAGATTCTTTATGTGATCTCTCTCTCTCTCTCTCGTAAATTAGAAAAAATGAAAAGGGGTGAAGATATCAAACCGTGACTCATAATTCCCGTTAACAATTCAAAATGACAAAAACAGTCACTCTGAAAACACCAATGTAATTGTGATCAGGTATGTAGGAGGAGTGCTTGTAAGCATTATCTCTTTCGATTGTCATGAACTCCCTTTATTGGTGAGTTGAACGGAGTAACGATTAGACAAACTACTATAGTAAGTGTAAATTTAAGGGCATAATAATTATTATGAAATGTATATGTACATGTAAGACAGAATATTACAAAAGGGTAGGTTATATCAGGAAAAAAGTCATTACTACGACCAAAGAAATAATTAAATGCTCAATAAACACTAGTCACTTGTTCACTTCTGTAATGTAAACCTATTTGCCAGTATACTGTCTAGGGGAAAACTGAACCTACAACGCTCTTGATATTCTTAACCCTTTTATATAATGCCGATCCTACTGAAATATAACATTCAGCATACTGTTCATCAATTAATAAACTGGTTTATTTATCTCTCAGTACAGTTCCAAAAGAAACATTTTGTAAAGAGATGCAAAAGTTTTATTGAAAAATATATTTTTAAGGTGAACAAATACATACTAAAGCAACAAAGGGACGTAAACCATAACACATCACACCAATTAATGACCGTGAATACTAGTTGTGTGTGACAGAGTATCCTAATTAAACACATGCAAATCGGAATGAGTTTTGTTTGGTTTTCTATTGATTTATAAATGTTGATGAAATTAGTGATATTCGTTAAATTATAAAAATGTTCAAATGTTTATTTGACAAGGAAAACCGTAAGATATATTGCAAAAGATGATATGGGGGGAAATATTTGGGGTATATTAAAGTTATACAACATCCGAAATGGGTAAGTGGTTTTCAAGAACCAAATTGGTTTTAAGAAGTAAACATAAAGAATCTAGATTGTTTTTTATTCTACAGTGTATGTCAATGCTTTTTTCTTTTTTAAAAATTTTCATTGACAGTTGTCAATCTGAATTTTCATAAAAAAGCTGTCATTCTTACAATTATTTGTAATTTGTTAGATGATTTTGTTTTTTAGAAATCCCTCTAAAAAAAGTTCATATTCAGTTTCCAAATTATGCAGTTATTTCCTCGCCATTCAAATAATTATAAGGTCCTGGTATCGACCATAGAACTTACGAAATGATGACTTCAAACAAGACTGCTGATGTGCTTGCCTCAGCAACTTGTTTGTCAATAATTGTTCATACGTAGATCTTGCTCTTGCGTATCGAATCAACTGAAAAATATGAACCTCGCATGGAGGCAATGAATGTATATTGCTGCATAAGTAAGGAAAATTGACAATTGAAAAATTAAAGTCATCCCGTTTGTCATAAAGCTTGGTTATTAGATTACCATTAACGTCTTTTTCAAGTAGAATGTCTAAATATGAAACAAATCTGTCAGACTCTGTGGTATCTTTTATTTAAAGTTCAACGGAATATAGAGTATCGACAAAAGAATGGAAATAAGCATTTTTAATTGACAATACGTCGTCGATATACTTTTTTCCACAGGTTCATAATTCCGCGGAATCTCAATTTCTGTTAAATCTGCGGGTAGAAAATTACGCGGATTTCTTAGACTGTCACTATATGCCTTACGTTTATAATAAGTACGCTTGGACAAATTTCTGCGGAAAATTTGTGACCTCGTACATAGCATTAATTAATACCACGTGGAAAAAAGTACTCCGACAGTATCTAAATATTGAGTTGAACTTAAGCAAGCGTTTTCTTTTCACGTATAAGATTTTGGACAAATTCTGCTTCATATGAATACAAAAATAGGTCGGCTTAAAACAGGACGCAATTGATATCCATGGGAATTCAAATTGACTGTTTGAAGCCCTTTTCTTAAAAAACACAAAGATATATCAATCAAAACTCAAGCATCTTTTTCATGTTAACTTCAGAGTACTTGTAAGTACAATCAAAATGCAATTTAACAAAATAATTTTGTAAATGACCGATGACGACGTGAGTAATTTTACGAGTTCCATTTTTATTGAAAAAACAGCTGACAATATTATCAAAAAGCCTGGACTTTAATTTATCGTGAGTAATGGTGGTATATAAAGTAGGAAAGTCGTATGTTTTAATATCGTTAATTTTGGTAAAATCTTATGATTTCAAATTCTCCAAAAGTTCCTTGGAATTTTTAAGTATTCACATCTGATTTGCACCACTTCAGTACTTAAATATCTTTGGGGAAAAAAACTATTTAATTTATTAAAAATTCTTTGAATTTCTGAGAATACACATTTGATTTATACCACTTTTATCTACTATACTGTTGCACAGTACGGTCGTCTATAGTTTCTACATTACAGCAGTTAACATTTTTGATAGGGTTAGAGAGTGTTGGTGTTTCCAGCGGGACTATATTTGAGAAAAGAAAATAACACTTAAGAGGGTTTTAGACGTTCAATTTCAAGGCATCAAAAGGTTTGTTTATACTTGTAATTGAAATAACAAAGATGGAACAAATTTGGAAATATATCTCGGAAATGCGAGACGAAGAGTTCAAATAGAGATGTGGTGGAATGCAAGACTGAACTTAATTTATCATTTCCAATGCTTTATTGTAATGTTGTTAATTGATAAATACATGGAACTCATTAACGTATATAGCAATTAAGATATTTAATCATATAAAATGCACGTAAAAATGATAATGTGATAATGTTCAAATTCTTCATAAAATGAATCACTTAGCACTGCTTCTCACTTTATTTATTGAATTTTAGAAGAACAGACAAATTCTTACAAAAACCCTTAATCTTCATTATTTATTTACATCCCAATTAAAAATCTTGAGGCTATAAGACTCTCTCTCTGCAGTCCACTAAGTTAATCTTGCTTCGATACAGTTGGGATTTTAAGATGCATAGGAGTACATTTTTTATTTTTCCAGCTACATTTTTGTCGGGAGTACTTTTGTATGTAGGTAAGTATACAATTGAAACTACTGATATATTTATGTAATAAAAGTATTTTGACAATTTCAACCCTCTAACCTTCAGTAATTAGTTTAATTAAATGATGAACCATAAGTGATATATAATATCTAAACAAATATTTCATAAGAAATAAGAGAAGAATAGGTACTTTGTTCAATTGAATAATTGCAAAAAAGGTCAACCACTTAAAAAAGTTTTTGTGAATTTTTTTTAATTGCATTATTTCTTACAATGCTTTATCATATCTTTATATTACTTTTTAATTATATATAATTTCAACAACTTATAGTCAGGATATGCTCTTCTTTATTCGGGTGTTTAACGAAACAGATCAGATTAAAGACTGTGACATCATTTCTTGTAGCATCTGAAGAAAAAATAAGGTCGTGTTTAAAAAGTAAAAAAGTTACTTAGAATATTTTTGTAGTGTAAATAAATTTTTATTTACATATCTTTTACACTCTTATTTTAGATTTTGGAGCAGGAATAATTCCTTCTGAACCCACATTTATCAGTGAATGGAACTACCTAAAAGCACAAGATGATACGAAAAGCGAACTTTTCGTTCATTTCCCAGATAGCGTTGACACAACAACAAGACCCGTAAAAGTAACTGTGGAAGTAAGGATAAAAGCTAGCGGGAACTCGTACATCTTTAACGCGTTCGGTTCTTCTCCACGAGACGATGACACTCCAAAAAAATATGGCGGAGTTATATATTTCTATAATGCAAGTGGTGTTATTATTATGTTGCCAAGCAGTACCAACCAATTCAAATCCGGAGGAGCTGTGTATTGTGGTAAGTCTCTATAGATGAAGCAGACGCTGGCCGGGTTGTTTCCGTTAATGATAACTCTGGTGGTCGGAGATTTACGGAGAGAGTAGAGCGTCTGTTTGAATGAGATTTGGATTTTTATACATTTGCAAGTTATATCAAGCGACATCTCCAAATACGGTTCTGTTGATTGATTGTATATTGTTTAACGTCCTTCTCGAGAATTTTTTGTTCATATAGAGACGCCACCACTTGCCGGTGGAGAGCTGCAAATTTTGTCCTATGCTTGGCACTCAGGGCCAGTGGGCAGAGAGGGATTTTTTTCGTGCCAAAACCTACTGCGACACGGGACCTCGGTTTATACGGTTTCCTCCGAAGGACCGGTCTCCACGTCCCACAGTGGGATTCGAACCCACGACATAAGGATTGACTCCTTACTTCGCGACTCTAGAGCAGACGCTCTGACCACTGCGCTACGCGGGCGACTCGGTTCTGTTGAAACTTATCAAACAGCTTTCTCGTATTAATTAATGATACAACAGATAATGTTTAAATGGTGTCACGGGTCTCCCATCTCAGGGAATGATAACTAAACACAATTCCTCAATAAAGGTTCACATATTTATTACTTGACAATTACTTGACAATGATAAATGAAGTACAAACGAAGTACAAACGAAGGTGCCCAGTCTCATCAACAATTATGGCACTAAGATTCCGTAAGGAATTTCTCAGATAAACTGCTAATAGATTTCTCGCAGGAGAACATCCAAATTATCATCAAGATTAAAAAGGAATAGTCCGTGCAGAAGTATATATACCAGGACTCACACATGCCTACATAACTACCACACCCCAAACATACTGGTTCTACCACTCACAGGATAATAATAGACCACAAGACAATCACGTGACAACCAAATACTCACGTGACACGGAACACCGGACAAACACGAATACAATGAATGACCAGGTATGAATGAATGAAAGGAATTTACTACAGCTATCTTATTTACTACATTAACTTACTAGACTAGCTGTACTAAATAATTATACTAAACAAAATAAAAAAACAAGTAATTGTCACCCTGTGACTTCGCGACTCTAGAGCAGACGCTCTGACCACTGCGCTACGCGGGCGACTCGGTTCTGTTGAAAATATCAAACAGCTTACTCGTATTAATTAATGATACAGCAGATAATGTTTAAATGGGATAAAACAAATTTTCTTCTTGATAAGTTGCAAAGAATCTTTATAGACAATTCGTTCATGCAATTTTTCTACTTAATGGCATTTTTGGGATGATACAGACGACAGTGTAAAATAAAGAAAATTAACATTTATTTCATACAGGTGAAAAGAAAGATTGGTATTACCCAACTTCTCATCAAAATAAAACTATTGATGAAATCGATTTTGTCGAGGCCGAAGTTCGAGTGAAAATGTGGCAACAAAAGGACATGCCTCCAAGATATGACTCTGGATTCGTATACACGATGACTTCAAGGAACTTAAGCAAAGGAGCAGGTACACTGAAAACAAAAGAATATTAAACTTGTAGGCTTCTATTACGTCACTTCAGGTCATTAAGTAGGTACTTTTTAAGTAAGATTTTAAAATATTATTGAATCTAAAATTATTTTTTTAGTAGTGACTTACTTAGAAGTGCCAGTCAAGATACATCCAGATATTGTGGTAGTACAAGCTGAACCAGTGAATCCGTTTTCTAGGATGCCTGGATTGATTTCAGAAGGAAACGGTATTTATGGGTAGCGATAGAAGAATTCTTTGTAAACGAATATTTTATCAATGATTATTTTCAAAATGTCAGACAATACAAAGATTTTTCACTTAATTTCCTCTTTTTTAAGGAATGAATTAAATAGCAATCCAATTTATACTGTATAACCTGGGATGCGGACAGTTAACGCTTTACAAACCGCGATGCTGTTTATAAATAGCGTAAACTGCTCCAACCCAAGTTATAGCTGAATTATTACTTGGATTTCTATTTTATTCATTCCTTATAATTTATTTTTCAATCATTACGTATAGAAAACAAGACAATAACTCACTTAAAACGTCTTCAAATTGTTCATATTTTAAATGTAACGTCCAGCGAATTGATACATTTTTGACACAAGTAATTCTGACGTAGGAAAACCCAGGTTTTACAATTTATAGTAATTTCTTTATCCAATCAAATGACGTGTTGCAACCAAAATTAAATTATATCCAATTGCTTTTTATTAGTATACCGGTATCTTTCTATCCACAGGGATGCCTGCATGCCTTAGATGTGGTTTTCAAACTGGAAGTCTGACGTTTGCATTCAATGCTTCTCATGTTCGCCTATGGGTTAAGTCGTTATGTAAGATTTAATACATATATTGTGTACTATTCTTTTTTTTTGGGGGGGGGGGGGGGCAATCTGTAACAGATTTATCAATATTTTAAAAATATGATAATTATTATGTTTAGATCCAATAATAAGTGCAATGGACGGATGGGGAAGAAACGAGTATTATCATTTTGGGACACATGCAGTTAGAGTCAGAATCCTTTCCTGGACGCTTGACAGTGCAGTAAACTCGAGTGGAATGACAACAAAGATTGGAGACCATTCAACCACAACCCCAAAATTGGTCTTTCCAAGTGAAACTGTCACAAAAGATTTACTTGTGCAGGTTTTGGTATGTTTTGGCTATGTTGTCTGTAGATTTCTCGTACCTTTATGCTCTTATTTAATCAAAGCAGACAAATCATTGTACAACACAATGATCTCTAGATATTTTGCTTTACAGCAAAGCTGTTGACCGGACTTTGCTTTAAAATGATAAAAGTTATCATATGTTTTTAAAAGGAGATACACAAAAAGTTGTAAAAGCTTATGAAATCCTATTCGTGATGTCCTCTGTCTTCGAGGAACTCTAGAAAATTTTACATTTCATCGATATGAGCGTAAATTCCAGAAATTGCTTGCAGCTATTACAGATTTCATTTTGCATAGATTTTTATGCCCTCGGATCGATAGATGGGGGCTTATATTGTTTTTGTCCTGTCTGTCTGCCTGTTTATCTGTTTGTCTGTTTATCAGTCTGTCTGTTGTTAACTTTAACCTTCGCCATAATTTTTTAACCTTGAGAGATAGAGACTTCATATTTGGTATACATACTCCACTAATTAAGTTCTTTCGAAATGACACCAAGGTCAATGACCTTGTGACCTTGAATGTGACCTATATGATAATAATAGCTTTTTTCGAACTTTCGCCATAACCTTTGAACCATGAGATAGAGACTTCATATTTGGTATGCATACTCCACTCATTACTTTCTTTAAAATGACACCAAGGTCAATGGCCTTGTGACCTTTACTGTGACGTATCTGCTAAAAATTGCATTTTCGAATTTTGTTGCAGTTTAGCGCATAGTGTTTTACAACCATATCTTGCTTAATTTTTATAAATTATTGGTTCCCAAGGAAGGTATATCTCGTCTTTTTTTATTTAATTCAACACCCACAATATTTTTGTTGTTGTTTTATTTGGACTTGATAATAAATCAGCACAGCTTCAGATTACGTGCAAGTACATTATTTTATGCATCCACTTTATCTTTGGATGTAAAGTATGCTGTCATTGAATACACCTACACACTCTATTTTTCAGATTCGTCCCTTGAGTGGCCCCAATGGTAATTTCTCGTTTTATGGAGCTGGTTCAGTGGTCACGTTTCGTGGTTATGGAACTTCACACAGATATTCTGGACTTGTGTTCGGCTACAACAACTTCGGTGTTTACGTCTGGAGAGTGAAACCTACCAACATGTCGTACGTGTTCGATATTGATTATCCATGGGGAAGTGGACGACAAAAACAACAAACAAATGACGTGGAAATCGACATTCGTGTGATTGGATTGATGAAGAAAGGTTTGCAGATAAAGCGCAACTAACATATCTATAACAATCAATATAAATAAATGATAAATATAAAAAGGACCAAACACCTACATACTCTAGTTTTCAAATTATACTTTTCACTTTTCAAGTGAGCTTTTCTGATCAAAATTTGTCTGTTGTCTGCCGTTGTCGTAGTCGTTGTCGTCGTCGTTGTCGTAAACTTTTCACATTTTCATCTTCTTCTCAAGAACCACTGGGCCAATTTCAACCAAACTTGCTACAAAGTATCCTTGGGTAAAGGGAATTCAAATTTCTTCAAATGAAGGGCCACGCCCTTTTCCAAGGGGAGATAATTATGAATTAGTGAAAAATTAATGGCATTTAAAAAAAAATCTTCTTCTCAAGAACCACTGGGCCAGGAAAGATGAAAGTCATGTGGAATCATCTTCAGGTAGTGTAGATTCAAGTTTGTTCAAATCATGACCCCCGGGGCTAGGGTGGGGCCAAAATGGCCGACCCAAGTTTTACATAGGAATATATAGGAAAAATCTTTAAAAATCTTCTTCTCAAAGACCATTGGGCCAGGAAAGATAAAACTCATGTGGTATCATCCTCAGGTAGTGTAGATTCAAGTTTGTTGAAATCATGACCCCGGGGCTAGGGTGGGGCCAAAATGGCCGACCCACGTTTTACATAGGAATATATAGGAAAAATCTTAAAAAATCTTCTTCTCAAGAACCACTGGACCAGGAAAGATGAAACTCATGTGGAATTATCCTCAGGTAGTGTAGATTCAAGTTTGTTCAAATCATGACTCCCGGGGCTAGGGTGGGGCCAAAATGGCCGACCCAAGTTTTACATAGGAATATATAGGGAAAATCTTAAAAAATCTTCTTCTCAAGAACCACTGGACCAGGAAAGATGAAACTCATGTGGAATCATCCTCAGGTAGTGTAGATTCAAGTTTGTACAAATCATGACCCCCGGGGCTAGGGTGGGGCCAAAATGGCCGATCAAAGTTTTACATAGGAATATATAGGAAAAATCTTAAAAAATCTTCTTCTCAAGAAACACTGGACCAGAAAAGATAAAACTCATGTAAAATTTTCCTCAGGTAGTGTAGACTCAAATGTGTCCAAATCATAGCCCCCGGGGCTAGGGTGGGGCCAAAATGCCAGATCAGAATTTTACATAGGAAGATATAGGAAAAATCTTTAAGAATCTTCTTCTCAAGAACCACTGGGCCAGGAAAGATGAAACTCATGTGGAATCATTCTCAGGTAGTGTAGATTCAAATTTGTGCAAATCATAACCCCTGGGCCAAAATGGCCGACCCAAGTTTTACATAGGGATACCTTTTAAAATCTTCTTTTCAAGTACTTCAAAGCCATGATAAGTGATATTTATATGGAATCATCCTCAGGTAGTGTAGATTCTAGTTTATTCAAATCATGAAACCCTGGGGGGTTAAAATTCAAGCCCACCCCTCAGTAAACTTTCAGTTCTGATCTGATATGTGCTTTTTCTTAGCCGATGTACTCAGGTGAGCGCTGTGGCCCCTGGGCCTCTTGTTTTACTTATTTTTATTTAGACGTTTTTCACCAGAATTATTCTTAGGGACTAATTATTTACACAGCTAATTGTAATGTGGCATGCAAAAGTATGGATCGCCTCAACTGCTTTTAATGGCTTTGGATGTGAATAGCATTCAGTTTGTAAAGATATATTTCTTCATTCTTATCTTCAGGCTTTTATATGTTTTCCTATAATAATGGCACCTGACGCTTTGTCACTAAGCTTTTCTGCTGATGCTCTTTATTTTTTTGCTGACAGATTGAATAAAAATTTATGCTGATTGCTCTTGATTACTCAGTAAATGAAAGTACTAATAATCTGACATTTAATTTTCGTGTTTTATTTTTTTCATTTCTTTTAAAGATATATGTGAGTTAAAAAAAAATGACATTATTCATTAGTACGTTAGTTATTTCACATTTCTGGTTGAATGTGTACATTGAATGAATAGCTTTCTTAGAGAACATGTACCAACTTTCAGTGGATTATGATTCCGACCCAATCTTGAAAAAATTTGAAAGCTAATACACATGTCTTGTTCATTATTAAAACAAAATCAATATAAGCATTGTATAAAAAAATAATTAGGCTTAACTTGTTTTAGCGACTGATTTTGTTTTCAAATGAATAGTTCATATTTCAAAGTATCACGCCTCAGTAATAATATTTTTTGTAATTAGGCTTATAAAAAACACAAATATCAATCGCCCTTTGCAAGACCGTATCACAAAATAATTGAAAAATTCTCACGATACCAAAGAGAAAGATTTCTAGCTTTTCTTAATATTGAAAGAACAACTCCAAATTAAATAAGTACATTGGTTGTAACTTTAAACGATCTATATGTAGAGTTTAAGATATTCCGTACATTACGATTTAAAGTATTTCTGAAAAAAAAATTAAAGTTTTAACAAAAAATACCAAGTAAGGTCGCTGTTAAGGCAACTTTCCAGCAAATAATTCTTTTCTTGAACCCTAGAATCGTCTTTAGAAATAATTTTAAGTGCTCTGGAAAACTATGAATAAGTGGAAGTTGATTTATAGAATTCTGTGTCTTCGTAAACATAATTCGTCTTCATTTTATTGAAAAAGCAGCTGTCAGTGATATCACAAAGCCTGGACTTTAATCTATCTTGGAATGGACATAATAATTTCTTATTTTTTATGTGAAAGTGTTCCTAATAACTTTCCAGACACAAATTCAAGTAAGAGTAAACCACGAATTCTAAAGAAAGAATTGTTAGTATTTAAAGTCACTGTAATTTAAATCTTTCTTCTTATTTCAGCTAAAAGAAAATGTATGTGTCCTTGTAATAAGGTTCATGCAGTAAGGTACACAAGCACCAACGAAGAAGCATTAACGAAAGAAATTGTGAAGATGAAAAAAGAACTCATGGTTTTAAAAAATGAAACATCTGTTGCCATGAGAAGAAAGATCAGTGTAAAAGATTCACGGCCGTCTGCCGCAGCTTCTGGTGCTGTTTGGGTGATATTTCTGTTAGCTATGGTTGGTTTCATCGTTATTCCGGATGTGATATCAGGGGTTAGATATATACTTCCGGTGTTCTTTAAGTGACATTTATGTTAGCTATGGTTGGTGTAATCGTTGTTCCAGATATGAATTCATTGTCAAATACATAAACGTATGAAAAAATCTTTAACAACATTAACAAGATTCATTGGATGAAAAACGCTAATAGGACTGAAATTGCATGAAAATATTTTTGATTAACGAAAAGCAATAAAGTTTGTTTGGTCTTTTGTCGCTTGTGACGATTGAATTTTGCTTCAAACCGAATGCTCCCTATTGTAGAGAAACAGATCCTTCATGTGATCTCTCTCTCTCTCTCTCTCTCTCTCTCTCTCTCTCTCTCTCTCGTAAGTTAGAGAATTGAAAAATAAAGTGAAGATATCAAACTGTGACTCATAATTCCCGTTAACAATTCAAAAGGATATAAACAGTCACTCTGAAAACACCAATGTAATTGTGATCAGGTATGTAGGAGGAGTGCTTCCTTCTAAGCATTTTCTTTCGATTGTCATGAATTCCCTTTATTGGTGAGTTGTATGGAGTAACGGTTAGACAAACTACTATAGTAAGTGTATATTTATTGGCATAATAATTATGATGAAATGTATATGTACATGTAAGACAGAATATTTCGAAAGGGTAGGTTATATCAGGAAAAAAGTCATTACTACGACCAAAGAAATAATTAAATGCTCAATAAACATTAGTCACTTGTTCACTTCTGTAATGTAAACCTATTTGCCAGTATACTGTCTAGGGGAAAACTGAACCTACAACGCTCTTGATATTCTTAACCCTTTTATATAATGCCGATCCTACTGAAATATAACATTCAACATACTGTTCATCAATTAATAAACTGGTTTATTTATCTCTAAGTACAGTTCCAAAAGAAAAGTTTTGTAAAGAGATGCAAAAGTTTTATTGAAAAATATATTTTTAAGGTGAGCAAATACATATTAGAGAAACAAAGGGACGTAAACCATAACACATCACACCAATTAATGACCATGAATACTAGTTGTCTGTGACAGAGTATCCTAATTAAACACATGCAAATCGGAATGAGTTTTGTTTGGTTTTCTATTGATTTATAAATGTTGATGAAATTAGTGATATTCGTTAAATTATAAAAATGTTCAAATGTTTATTTGACAAGGAAAACCGTAAGATATATTGCAAAAGATGATATGGGGGGAAATATTTGGGGTATATTAAAGTTATACAACATCCTAAATGGGTAAGTGGTTTTCAAGAACCAAACTGGTTTTAAGCAAATCTAAAGAAGCAAACATAAAGAATCCAGATTGTTTTTTATTCTACAGTGTATGTCAATGCTTTTTTCTTTTTTTAAAATTTTCATTGACAGTTGTCAATCTGAATTTTCATAAAAAAGCTGTCATTCTTACAATTATTTGTAATTTGTTAGATGATTTTGTTTTTTAGAAATCCCTCTTAAAAAAGTTCATATTCAGTTTCCAAATTATGCAGTTATTTCCTCGCCATTCAAATAATTATAAGGTCCTGGTATCGACCATAGAACTTACGAAATGATGACTTCAAACAAGACTGCTGATGTGCTTGCCTCAGCAACTTGTTTGTCAATAATTGTTCATACGTAGATCTTGCTCTTGCGTATCGAATCAACTGAAAAATATGAACCTCGCATGGAGGCAATGAATGTATATTGCTGCATAAGTAAGGAAAATTGACAATTGAAAAATTAAAGTCATCTCGTTTGTCATAAAGCTTGGTTATTAGATTACCATTAACGTCTTTTTCAAGTAAAATGTCTAAATATGAAACAAATCTGTCAGACTCTGTGGTATCTTTTATTTAAAGTTCAACGGAATATAGAGTATCGACAAAAGAATGGAAATCATAATTTTTAATTGACAATACGTCTTCGATATACTTTTTTCCACGGGGTCATAATTCCGCGGAATCTCAATTTCAGTTTAATCCGCTGGTAGAAAATTACGCGGATTTTCTTGACTGTCACTATATGCCTTGCATTTATAATTAGTATGCTTGGACAAATTTCTGCGGAAAATTTGTGACCTCGTACATAGCATTAATTAATACCACGTGGAAAAAAGTACTCCGATAGTATCTAAATATTGAGTTGAACTTCAGCAAGCGTTTTCTTTTCACGTATAAGATTTTGGACAAATTCTGCTTCATATGAATACAAAAATAGGTCGGCTTAAAACAGGACGCAATTGATATCCATGGGAATTCAAATTGACTGTTTGAAGCCCTTTTCTTAAAAAACACAAAGATATGTCAATCAAAACTCAAGCATCTTTTTGATGTTAACTTCAGAGTACTTGTAAGTACAATCAAAATGTATTTTAACAAAATAATTTTGTAAATGACCGATGACGACGTGAGTAATTTTACGAGTTCCATTTTTATTGAAAAAACAGCTGACAATATTATCAAAAAGCCTGGACTTTAATTTATCGTGAGTAATGGTGGTATATAAAGTAGGAAAGTCGTATGTTTTAATATCGTTAATTTTGGTAAAATCTTATGATTTCAAATTCTCCAAAAGTTCCTTGGAATTTTTAAGTATTCACATCTGATTTGCACCACTTCAGTACTTAAATATCTTTGGGAAAAAAAACTATTTAATTTATTAAAAATTCTTTGAATTTCTGAGAATACACATTTGATTTATACCACTTTTATCTACTATACTGTTGCACAGTACGGTCGTCTATAGTTTCTACATTACAGCAGTTAACATTTTTGTTAGGGTTAGAGACAGGAGATTAGTAGAGCTTTCTTTGTAAAGATTTCTATAAACTGAAGGAATCCAGTATTGGTGAGGTAGATTAAACTCACCTTCGTTGGTAGAAATATATATATATATATATATAAAAGATTAAAATGTGATTTAGAAGAATTCCATCCTTAAAAGGTTAAGTATGAGTATTGCGATCTCATTAAGATCAACGTCAAATCAAGTTCTTCCACCAACTGAAAGATCGGAGCTCGGCCTTTTTTAAATATTGCTTTCGGGACGTCATTTTCAACTGAAATAACATCACCAGTGTTGGTGTTTCCAGCGGGACTATATTTGAGAAAAGAAAATAACACTTAAGAGGATTTTAGACGTTCAATTTCAAGGCATTGAAAGGTTTGTTTAAACTTGTAATTGAAATAACAAAGATGGAACAAATTTGGAAATGTATCTCGGAAATGCGAGACGAAGAGTTCAAATAGAGATGTGGTGGAATGCAAGACTGAATTTAATTTATCATTTCCAATGCTTTATTGTAATGTTGTTAATTGATAAATACATGGTACTCATTAACGTATATAGCAATTAAGATATTTAATCATATAAAATGCACGTAAAAATGATAATGTGATAATATTCAAATTCTTCATAAAATGAAACACTTAGCACTGCTTTTCACTTTATTGATTGAATTTTAGAAGAACAGACAAATTCTTACAAAAACCCTTAATCTTCATTATTTATTTACATCCCAATTAAAAATCTTGAGGCTATAAGACTCTCTCTGCAGTTCACTAAGTTAATCTTGCTTCGATACAATTGGGATTTTAAGATGCATAGGAGTACATGTTTTATTTTTCCAGCTACATTTTTGTCGGGAGTACTTTTGTATGTAGGTAAGTATACAATTGAAATTACTGATATATTTATGTAATAAAAGTATTTTGACAATTTCAACCCTCTAACCTTCAATAATTAGTTTGATTAAATGATGAACCATAAGTGATATATAATATCTAAACAAATATTTCATAAGAAATAATAGAAGAATAGGTACCTTGTTCAATTGAATAATTGCAAAAAAGGTCAACCACTTAAAAAAAGTTTTTGTGAATTTATTTTAATTGCATTATTTCTTACAATGCTTTATTATATCTTTATATTCCTTTTTAATTATATATAATTTCAACAATTTATAGTCAGGATATGCTCTTCTTTATTCGGGTGTTTAACGAAACAGATCAGATTAAAGACTGTGACATCATTTCTTGTAGCATCTGAAGAAAAAATAAGGTCGTGTTTAAAAAGTAAAAAAGTTGCTTAAAATATTTTTGTAGTGTAAATAATTTTTTATTTACATATCTTTTACACTCTTATTTTAGATTTTGGAGCAGGAATAATTCCTTATGAACCCACATTTATCAGTGAATGGAAATACGTAAAAGCACAAGATGATACGAAAAGCGAACTTTTCGTTCATTTCCCAGATAGCGTTGACACAACAACAAGACCCGTAAAAGTAACTGTGGAAGTAAGGATCAAAGCTAGCGGGAACTCGTACATCTTTAACGCATTCGGTTCTTCTCCACGAGACGATGACACTCCAAAAAAATATGGCGGAGTTATATATTTCTATAATGCAAGTAGTGTTATTATTATGTTGCCAAGCAGTACCAACCAATTCAAATCCGGAGGAGCTGTGTATTGTGGTAAGTCTCTATAGATGAATCAGACGCTGGCCGGGTTGTTTCCGTTAATGATAACTGGTGGTCGGAGATGATTTACGGAGAGAGTAGAGCGTCTGTTTGAATGAGGTTTGGATTTTTATACATTTGCAAGTTACATCAAGCGACAGCTCCAAATACGATTCTGTTGATTGATTGTATATTGTTTAACGTCCTTCTCGAGAATTTTTTGTTCATATAGAGACGCCACCACTTGCCGGTGGAGAGCTGCAAATTTTGTCCTATGCTTGGCACTCAAGGCCAGTGGGCAGAGAGGGATCTTTTTCGTGCCAACACCTACTGCGACACGGGACCTCGGTTTATACGGTTTCCTCCGAAGGACCGGTCTCCACGTCCCACAGTGGGATTCGAACCCACGACATAAGGATTGACTCCTTACTTCGCGACTGTAGAGCAGACGCTCTGACCACTGCGCTACGCGGGTGACTCGGTTCTGTTGAAACTTATCAAACAGCTTACTCGTATTAATTAATGATAAAACAGATAATGTTTAAATGGTGTCACGGGTCTCTCATCTCAGGGAATGATAACTAAACCCAATTCCTCAATGAAGGTTCACATATTTATTACTTGACAATTACTTGACAATGATAAATGAAGTACAAACGAACGAACAAAGGTGACCAGTCTCGATAACAATTAAGGCACTAAGATTCCGTAAGGAATTTCTTAGATAAACTGCTAATAGATTTCTCGCAGGAGAACATCCAAATTATCATCAAGATTAAAAAGGAATAGTCCGTGCATAAGTATATATACCAGGACTCACACATGCGTACATAACTACCACACCCCAAACATACTGGTTCTACCACTCACAGGATAATAATAGACCACAAGACAATCACGTGACAACCAAATACTCACGTGATACGGAACACCGGACAATCACGAATACAATGAATGACCAGGTATGAATGAATGAATGAATGAAAGGAATTTACTACAGCTATCTTATTTACTACATTAACTTACTAGACTAGCTGTACTAAATAATTATACTAAACAAAATAAAAAAACAAGTAATTGTCACCCTGTGACTTCGCGACTCTAGAGCAGATGCTCTGACCACTGCGCCACGCGGGCGACTCTGTTCTGTTGAAATTATGAAACAGCTTACTCGTATTAATTAATGATACAGCAGATAATGTTTAAATGGGATAAAACAAATTTTCTTCTTGATAAGTTGCAAAGAATCTTTATAGACAATTCGTTCATGCAATTTTTCTACTTAAGGGGGATGTACGGCCACCTTTAGTGCAGTGAGAACAAAATGTAAACATTTCTTCAAATGGCTAAAGTACATTATATTTTGATCAAATTTTAAACCCTTATGATAAAAATACAATAAATATGCATAACTGAATGCATGTTGTGCATATATAATCTCTACTTTTGCAGAAAAATGCTTTTGATATGCTCCTTAGAACTGCGCAGCTACAGCATTCAGCAGAGCCTTAAAAAATCCAAAAAAATACGCAAAGTGTGCATTAATCTTCTCTCTACAACCATTTGTTGAGAAAATGTCTAAATTTTGCACTTTTAAATGATAATTTTAAGTTCAAAACAAGGTATCGTTGTCTTCAAAAAGAGTGTAAAGAACCCTGAAAGTAGTTCATTGATAGCAGCACGTGATCTATTTTTAGCACAGAATTTTGTTTTCCAGACCTCTTCTTAATATGGAGGGACATAACAATCTTTAAATGTAGAAGAGAATTACAGTTGCAAAATATTTCAAATGCATATGAACACTTTTAAAAGAGGAATTGTGTTATAGTGTGACTTGAAGCAATTTATTTAGTATTATTATCTAACAGTTGTTAAATAGTGTACGTATTGAAATAAACTCTTTGATTCCAGGTAAGGAAAAATGAGCACCATCAAAGTTTAAAATTAAGTTTGCCGCAGATAACTTATAATATCTATCAAAAGTTTAATTATCACCAATGAAACACAAAGTTAATAAACACATAAAATTGATAAGAAAAACCTTGTGTTAGTATCTACTAGTACGAGGGGCAATCAAAAAGTTCTCGAACTATCTCTATACCTACAAAACCACAATTTAGATTAGAAACAAACTGGGTGCACACTCAAGTTCTATAAATAGCATATGGTGAATAAAGTTTTGCTCACAATGTGAAAATGAAGTCATTATGCAGGTACTTGTGACAAAAAATGGTTGTCTCAGTGGAACTCATTCAACAAACGACTAAAATATTTAAGGTATATCTTAAAAATGCCTTTGAAGTAACGTATAAGAATTTGTTCATGGTTTATTAAGACAAATGACTTCCTAATACATGTAATTCAATCAATGATTGGATAGATCGTTTTAGTGAAGGAAGGCAGGTGGTTGAATATGATACTTGTTATGTTGCCCGGTGAAAGCAAGTTTGAAAAGGGTTTTTTTTAATTAAGCAATATGCTATCAAAGGTCTCCAATTTACACTTTGAAAAATACTTGAATATTTCAGCAATAATATAACTATCAAATACCTATTATATAGTTTACTTTTGATCACCCCCCCCCCCCCCCCCAAATACTAGTACTCTGTCAAATAAACATTTACAGTTTTCATTACAGCGGAGCAAAATTTGAAAAGGAATAGAATCATTCAGAGTGGGTAAGGAGATTTAATAAATAATATTTTTTCTTTATTTGCCCATTTTGTCAAAATTACAATTTTACAGAGTAGAGAAAAAAATCAAGATAATTAAATATTTTATACCATCTTTAAAATGACGTTTGGTAGACCTCCCAACTCAGGGAAAATTATTGGGTCCGTATTTATGGTGAGAAAAAATTTTTTTTAAAAATGTAAACATATTTGTTAACGGAAGAAAAAAATATCCTGTAATTGGATGTAAAATAAAATTGAATCGGACCATTTCTAGATCGGGAGAGATGGCAACCAAATATTTTTTATAACGAATGGTCTTATAAGGCTAGTACATGTTCCATCACATACTTTGTGATGCAAATTGTTTTAATCTCTGGCACTATTTTGAAAAAAGAACATAGGATTTTCGGAAAGGGGGGGGGTAGTCTCTCATTTTTTTTGCGATGATAGACATAGCATATGCAATGGACCTTTGTTTGCAAACATTGTGATTGCTTCTAAATTTCAAAGAAACAACTCAATATATTTTATCAAGCTTCATATGTTCAATGAGCGAGAGCTTACAACGTAGTCAACATAATGAGACATGATGCGTTTTTATGTCCAAACATTTGTCCATACAATGTGTTGGTCATTGCAAACACTCAAGCTATTTATGTGAGGTGCCTGAAGGAAATACTTAAACTGCCTATTTTTTCTATCCAACTGCTAAACAAAATAGACATATGAACCAACTTTTCGAATGTAAGACATGTAATTGCAATTTGTTTTTCAGGCACCGCATATTGTTTAACATTTTCAAATTAAATGCTAAGCATCCTCCTTGCAGTGCCCCATTTCAAAATAACTTCTTTCGCCACAGAAAAAAGACCCGACGTAAACTCATATGTTTAGGGCATTTTTTAGCTTTTTTCTTGAGTTTTAAAGGAACCAACAAATTATCAAGACTTGTTCCACGAAAAATTAAATATAATCATGGTAATAAACGCATCTATTCACAGCAGATATATGCACATGTCAAACACGTGCTCGGTGTAATAATATTAGCTAGGAAACTCGAGCTATGAACAGAACAGTTTTTCCCGATTTGCTAGAGTGGGGTTAAAATCGCGTTTTTTCATTAATCAGACGAAGCGATGAAACAAATAAAGGTAGTAAGTAATATTACCTAATGATTATTACTTAGTAATTTCTTGTCTTGATGTTATTATGGTCGCATTTATTCTAAAATCAATGTTATTCGAACTCTATGTGACAGAGGAATGGCGGACGAAATAAACACATGGCCTAAAGGAAGACACACATATGAAAAATCAAATTTTCAAGAAATTTAGATAATGACAAGAAAAAAGCGAAACAAATGGTTGTAGCCATATTATCAATGAATCAAACTAACACCATTTTCAATGCATTTTTCATCTCGTGAATGCTGTAGCTGCGCAGTTCTGCCATGATTAATTTCCTCCTAATTAAAACAAAGTAAACTTAATTATTTACTAATTTTGGTCTCTAACAGTAGGTAACTAGTGCATTAACACTTTGAGTAACTTTGGGCTAGTTAAGACGAGTATTAAGCGCATTCTTGGCATTTCTTATTTCACACCAGTCAAGATCCAATTGGCTTGTACATCCCCCTTAATGGCATTTTTGGGATGATACAGACGACAGTGTAAAATAAAAAAAATTAACATTTATTTCATACAGGTGAAAAGAAAGATTGGTATTACCCAACTTCTCATCAAAATAAAACTATTGATGAAATCGATTTTGTCGAGGCCGAAGTTCGAGTGAAAATGTGGCAACAAAAGGACATGCCTCCAAGATATGACTCTGGATTCGTATACACGATGACTTCAAGGAACTTAAGTAAAGGAGCAGGTACATTGAAAACAAAAGAATATTAAACTTGTAGGCTTTTATTACGTCACTTCAGGTCATAATTAGGTACTTTTTAAGTAAGATTTTAAAATATTATTGAATTTAAAATTATTTTTTTAGTAGTGACTTACTTAGAAGTGCCAGTCAAGATACATCCAGATATTGTGGTAGTACAAGCTGAACCAGTGAATCCGTTTTCTAGGATGCCTGGATTGATTTCAGAAGGAAACGGTATTTATGGGTAGCGATGGAAGAATTCTTTGTAAACGAATATTTTATCAATGATTATTTTCAAAATGTCAGACAATACAAAGATTTTTCACTTAATTTCCTCTTTTTTAAGGAATGAATTAAATAGCAATCCAATTTATACTGTATAACCTGGGATGCGGACAGTTAACGCTTTACAAACCGCGATGCTGTTTATAAATAGCGTAAACTGCTCCAACCCAAGTTATAGCTGAATTATTACTTGGATTTCTATTTTATTCATTCCTTATAATTTATTTTTCAATCATTACGTATAGAAAACAAGACAATAACTCACTTAAAACGTCTTCAAATTGTTCATATTTTGAATGTAACGTCCAGCGAATTGATACATTTTTGACACAAGTAATTCTGACGTAGGAAAACCCAGGTTTTACAATTTATAGTAATTTCTTTATCCAATCAAATGACGTGTTGCAACCAAAATTAAATTATATCCAATTGCTTTTTATTAGTATACCGGTATCTTTCTATCCACAGGGATGCCTGCATGCCTTAGATGTGGTTTACAAACTGGAAGTCTGACGTTTGCATTCAATGCTTCTCATGTTCGCCTATGGGTTAAGTCCTTATGTAAGATTTAATACATATATTGTGTACTTTTCTTTTTTTTGGGGGGGGGGGGGGGGGGCAATCTGTAACAGATTTATCAATATTTTAAAAATATAATAATTATTATGTTTAGATCCAATAATAAGTGCAATGGACGGATGGGGAAGAAACGAGTATTATCATTTTGGGACACATGCAGTTAGAGTCAGAATCCTTTCCTGGACGCTTGACAATGCAGTAAACTCGAGTGGAATGACAACAAAGATTGGAGACCATACAACCACAACCCCAAAATTGGTCTTTCCAAGTGAAACTGTCACAAAAGATTTACTTGTGCAGGTTTTGGTATGTTTTGGCTATGTTGTCTGTAGATTTCTCGTACCTTTATGCTCTTATTTAATCAAAGCAGACAAATCATCGTACAACACAATGATCTCTAGATATTTTGCTTTACAGCAAAGCTGTTGACCGGTCTTTGCTTTAAAATGATAAAAGTTATCATATGTTTTTAAAAGGAGATACACAAAAAGTTGTAAAAGCTTATGAAATCCTATTCGTGATGTCCTCTGTCTTCGAGAAACTCTAGCAAATTTTACATTTCATCGATATGAGCGTAAATTCCAGAAATTGCTTGCAGCTATTACAGATTTCCTTTTGCATAGATTTTTTTGCCCTCGGATCGATAGATGGGGGCTTATATTGTTTTTGTCCTATCTGTTTGCCTGTTTATCTGTTTGTCTGTTTATCTGTCTATCTGTTGTTAACTTTAACCTTCGCCATAATTTTTTAACCTTGAGGGATAGAGACTTCATATTTGGAATACATACTCTACTAATTAAATTCTTTCGAAATGACACCAAGGTCAATGACCTTGTGACCTTGAATGTGGCCTATATGATAATAATAGCTTTTTTCGAACTTTCGCCATAACTTTTGAACCATGAGATAGAGACTTCATATATGGTATGCATACTCCACTCATTACTTTCTTTAAAATGACACCAAGGTCAATGGCCTTGTGACCTTTACTGTGACCTATCTGCTAAAAATTGCATTTTCGAATTTTGTTGCAGTTGAGCGCATAGTGTTTTACAACCATATCTTGCTTAATTTTTATAAACGATATTGGTTCCCAAGGAAGGTATATCTCGTCTTTTTTTATTTAATTCAACACCCACAATATTTTTGTTGTTGTTTTATTTGGACTTGATAATAAATCAGCACAGCTTCAGATTACGTGCAAGTACATTATTTTGTGCATCCACTTTATCTTTGGATGTAAAGTATGCTGTCATTGAATACACCTACATACTCTATTTTTCAGATTCGTCCCTTGAGTGGCCCCAATGGTGGTTTCTCGTTTTATGGAGCTGGTTCAGTGGTCACGTTCCTTGGTTATGGTACTTCACACAGATATTCTGGACTGGTGTACGGCTACAACAACTTCGGCGTTTACGTCTGGAGAGTGAAACCTACCAGGATGTCTTACGTATTCGATATTGATTCTCCATGGGGAAGTGGACGACAAAAACAACAAACAAATGACGTGGAAATCGACATTCGTGTGATTGGATTGATGAAGAAAGGTTTGCAGATAAAGCGCAACTAACATATCTATAACAATCAATATAAATAAATGATAAATATAAAAAAGGACCAAACACCTACATACTCTAGTTTTCAAATTATACTTTTCACTTTTTTTTCTTATTTTCATTTAGACGTTTTTCACCAGTATTATTCTTAAGGACTAATTATTTACACAGCTAATTGTAATGTGGCACGCAAAAGTATGGATCGCCTCAACTGCTTTTAATGGCCTTGGATGTGAATAGCATTCAGTTTGTAAAGATATTTCTTCATTCTTATCTTCAGACTTTTATATGTTTTCCTATAATAAAGGCACCTGACGCTTTGTCACTAAGCTTTTCTGCTGATGCTCTTTATTTTTTTGCTGACAGATTGAATAAAAATTTATGCTGATTGTTCTTGATTACACAGTAAATGAAAGTACTAATAATCTAATAATCTAATAATCTATTCATTAATACGTTAGTTATTTCACATTTCTGGTTGACATGTGTACATTGAATGAATACCTTTCTTAGAGAACATGTACCAACTTTCAGTGGATTATAATTCCGACCCAATCTTGAAAAAATTTGAATGCTAATACACATGTCTTGTTCATTATTAAAACAAAATCCATATAAGCATTGTATAAAAAATAATTAGGCCTAACTTGTTTTAGCGACTCATTTTGTTTTCAAATGAATAGTTCATATTTCAAAGTATCACGCCTCAGTAATCATAATATTTTTTGTAAATAGGCTTATGAAAAACACGAATTTCAATTGCCCTCTGTAATACCGTATCACAAAATAATTGAAAAATTCTCACGATACCAAAGAAAAAGATTTCTAGCTTTTCTTAATATTGAAAGAACAACTCGAAATTAAATAAGTACATTGGTTGTAACTTTAAACGATCTATATGTAGAGTTTAAGATATTCCGTATACTATGATTAAAAGTGTTTGTGAAAAAAATTAAAGTTTTGGCAAAAAATACCAAGAAAGGTCGCTGTTAAGGCAACTTTCCAGCAAATAATTCTTTTCTGGAAGCCCAAAATCGTCTTTAGAAAAAATTTTAATTGCTCTTGAAAACTATGAATAAGTGGAAGTTGATTTATAGAATTCTGTGTCTTCGTAAACATAATTCGTCTTCATTTTATTGAAAAAGCAGCTGTCAGTGATATCACAAAGCCTGGACTTTAATCTATCTTGGAATGGACTAATAATTTCTTATTTTTATGTGAAAGTGTTCCTTATAACTTTCCAGACACAAATTCAAGTAAAAGTAAACCACGAATTTTAAAGAAAGAATTGTTAGTTTTTAAAGTCACTGTAATTTACATGTATATCCTTCTTCTTCCTATTTCAGCTAAAAGAAGATGCATGTGTCCTTGTAATAAGGTTCATGCAGCAAAGTACACAAGCACCAACGAAGAAGCATTAACTAAAGAAATTGTGAAGATGAAAAAAGAACTTATGGTTTTAAAAAATGAAACATCTGTTGCCATGAGAAGAAAGATCAGTATAAAAGATTCACGGCCGTCTGCCACAGCTTCCGGTGCTGTTTGGGTGATATTTCTGTTAGCTATGATTGGTTTCATTGTTATTCCGGATGTGATATCAGGGGTTAGATATATACTTCCGGTGCTCTTTAAGTGACATTTCTGTTAGCTATGGTTGGTGTAATCGTTGTTCCAGATATGATTTCATTGTCAAATACATAAAAGTATGAAAAAATCTTTAACAACATTAACAAGATTCATTGGATGATAAACGCTAATAGGACTGACGATCGCATGAAAATATTTTTGATTAACGAAAAACAATAAAGTTTGTTTGGTCTTTTGTCGCTTGTGACATGTAAGACAGAATATTTCGAAATGGTAGGTTATATCAGAAAACAGTCATTACTACGAACAAAGAAATAATTTAAATGCTTAATAAACACTAGCCCTTGTTCACTGCTGCAATGCAACTTGTTTGTCAATAAACTGTCTTGGGGGAAAACTGAGCCTACTTCGCGTCTGATATTCTTAACCCTTTTATGTAATGCTGATCCTACTGAAATATAACATTCAAAATACTGTTCATCAATTGATAAACTGATTTATTTTTCTGTCATTATAGTTACAAAAGAAAAGTTTTTTAAAGAGATACAAAATTTTTATTGCAAAGTATATATTTAAAGTGAAAAAATAGATATTAAAGCAACAAATGGGCGGAAACCATCACATATCACACCAATTATTGACCTTGATTATTAGTTGTGTGTAACAGAGTATCCCAAATAACACGTTCAAATCTGAACGAGTTTTGTTTGGTATTCTATTTATTTATTAATGTTGATGAAGTTAGTGACATTCGTTAATTAATCTAAATTTTTCAAATTTGATTTGACAACAAAAGCAGTAAGAAATATTGCAAAAGAAAACATTTGGGGAAATATTTGGGGTAAATTAAGTTGTACAACATCCGAAATGGATACGTGGTTTTCAAGAACCTCAAATTGGTTTTTAAGTAAATTGAAAGTTGTTTTTTATGCTCCAGTGTATATTCATGCTTTTTTTTTTTTTTTAATTTTCATTGACAGTTGTCAATCTTAATTTTTACAAATAACTGTCAATTTCAGAGTTATTTATAATTCGTAATACGTTTGTAAAAAATCCCGTCTAAAAAAATTATTGCATAAATTTTTCATATTTGAAGAATAAAATCATATTTAGTTTGCAAATTTTATAATTATTCTCTCACCGTTCAAATGATGACAAGGTCATCGTATCGACCATAGAACTTACGAAATGATGACTTTAAACAAGACTGCTGATATGCTTGCTTCAGCAATTTGTGTTTAGAAAATTGTTCATACCTAGAGCAAAATCTTGCCTATTCAATCAACCGAGAGATGTTAACCCCGTATGGAGGCGATGAAGGTATATTGCAACATAAATAAGGGGAGTTGACGATTGAAAAGTTAAAGTTATCTCGTTTGTCATAGAGCTTGTTTGTTATATTACCGTTAACATCTTTTTCAAGTAAAATATCTAGATATGAAACAAATCTGTCCGACTCCTTGGTATCTTTTAATTTAAAGCTCATGAATATAGAGTATCGATATAAGAGTGGGAATAAGTATTGTTAATTGACAATACATTGTCGAAATATCTAAATATCGAGTGAAAGGCCACACTTATTCTTTTCACTTAGAAGATTTTGGACAAACTGTGCTTCATATGAATACAAAAAAGTCTGTTTATAACGGGGCGCAATAGGTACCCATGGGAATTTCAATTGACTGTTTGAAGCCCTTTTCTTAAAAAACACAAAGATATTGTCAATGAGAAACTGAATCATCTTTTGATGTCAACTTCAGAGTACTTGTGTGTACAATCAGAATACTTCTTATGAAATAAATTTGCGAATAACCAATGACACGGTGGGTAATTCTATTCTATTTAAAAAAAAAAAACGGCTGACAATATTATCAAAAAGCCTGGACTTTAATTTATCGTGAGTAATGGTTGTATATAAAGTTGAAAAGTCGTATGTTGTAATATTGTTGATTTTGATAGAATCTTATGATTTCAAATTGTCCAAAAGTTCCTTGGAATTTTGAAGTGTTTACATCTGATTTATCTGATCCACATTTGATTTATACCACTTTTATATACTATACTGTTGCACAGTACGGTCGTCTATAGTTTCTACATTACAACAGTTAATATTTTTGTCAGAGTTAGAGATAGGAGTTTGGTAGAGTTTTCTTTGTAAAGATTTCTATAAACTGAGGGAATCCAATATTAGTGGGGTAGATTGAACTCACCTTCGTTGGTAGGAATATAAAGAAAATTAAAGATTAAAATGTGATTTTTAAGAATTACATCCTTAGAAGGTGAACTGTGAGTAATGAGATCTCGTAAAGACCAAAGTCAAATCAAGTTCTTCCGCCAACTGAAAGATCGGATCGAGCTCGCCTTTTTAAGTTATTGCTTTCGACATCCATTTCAACTAAAATAATATCACCAGTGTTGGCGAGACATAGAGTTCAAATAGAGATGTGGTGGAATGCAAGACTGAACTTAATTTATCATTTCCAATGCTTTATTGTAATGTTGTTAAAAGGTGAACTGTGAGTATTGAGATCTCGTAAAGATCAAAGTCAAATCAAGTTATTCCGCCAACTGAAAGATCGGATCGAGCTCGGCCTTTTTAAGTTATTGCTTTCGGGACGTCCATTTCAACTAAAATAATATCACCAGTGTTGGCGTTTCCAGCAGGACTATAGTTGAAAAAAAAGAAAATAACCATTAAGAGGGTTTTAAGACGTTCAATTTCAAGGTATCGAAATGTTTGTTTATACTTGTAATTGAAATTACAAAGATGGAACTTTGGAAATATATCTCGGAAATGCGAGACGTACAGTTCAAATAGAGATGTGCTGGAATGCAAGACTGAACTTAATTTATCATTTCCAATACTTTATTGTAATGTTGTTAATTGATAAATACATAGTACTCATTAACTTATACAGCAATTAAAATAATTAATCATATAAAATACATGTAACAATGATAATGTGATAAAATTCAAAGTCTTCATTAAATAAATCACCTTGGCACTGCTTCTTACTTTATTGATTAAATTGTAGAAGAACAGACAAATTCTTACAAAAACCCTTAATCTTCATTATTTATTTACATCCCAATTAAAAGACTTGAGGCTATACGACATCATATGCAGTCCACTAAGTTAATCTTGCTTCGATTCAATTGGGATTTTAAGATGCATAGGAGTACCGGTTTTATTTTTCCAGCTACATTTTTGTTGGAAATACTTTTTTATTTAGGAAAGTTTACGATGGAAATTACTGATACATGTATATGTAATAAAAGGACTTTGACAATGTCACCCCTTTTAGCCATAAGAAATTAGTATTTTAATGATGAACATTTTGTGATATATAATATTCAAACAAATATTTCATAAAAACGAGAAGAATTTACAATACCGAGTAATTTGATCAATAAAATATTTTTTTTTTTAAATCGTCAGACACTAGATAGTTTTGGGGGAATTATATTAATATGCATTATTTCTTAAAATGATTTTATTATATCTTTATATTACTTTGTAATTATATATAATTTCAGCAAACTATAGTCAGGATATGTTTTTCTTTATTCAGGTTTTAAACAGATGCGATTTAAGTTTGTGATATCATTTTCTGTAGTATCTCAAGCAAAAATAAGGTCGTGTTTAAAAAGTCAAAAGATTTCGTACAATAGTTTTGTAGTTAAAGTAAATTTTATTTATATATCATTTACACTCTTTTTTCAGGTTTTGGAGCAAAAACAAGTCCTTATGAACCCACATTTATTAGTGATTGGAACTACGTAAAAGCACAAGATGATACGAAAAGCGAAATTTTCGTTCATTTCCCGGACAGCGTTGACACGACTACAAGACCCGTTAAAGTAATTGTGGAAGTAAGGGTCACAGATGGCGGAAACTCGTACATCTTTAACGCGTTCGGTTCTTCTGAGACGATGACTTTGCAGAAAAATATGGTGGAGTTGTGTATTTCTATAATGCAAGTGGAGTTATCATTCTGTTGCCAAGAAAACACAACCAATACAAGTCCGGGAGAGCCGTGTATTGTGGTAAGTAAGATACAGAAAGTCTTTATGAATCAGACGCTCGGTTGTTTCCGTTAATCTCCGACTCTGTTGCTCGAAGATTTACGGTGACAGTCGAGCGTCTGGTTCAAAGAGACAAAGGTACATGTTTTCCTTTGATGAGTTGTAGTTCTATCTTATGAAACTTATCAAACAGCATGCTCGTATTATTTTATTGAATGGCATTTTAAGCGATGCATTAATGATACATTGTTAAAATGGGATAAAATAAATTTTCCTCTTGATAAGTTGCAAAGAATCTTTATGGACAATTCGTTCATGCAATTTTCTACTGCATTTTTGGGATGATACAGACGAAGGTGTGTTATAAAAAATATTAACATTCATTTCATACAGGTGAAAAGAAAGATTGGTATTATCCAACTTCTCATGAGAATAAAACTATTAATGAAATAGATTTTGTCGAGGCCAAAGTTCGAGTGAAAATGTGGAAACAAAAAGATATGCCCCCACGATATGACTCTGGGTTCGATACACGATGACCTCAAGGAACTTTAGTAAAGGAGCAAGTACATTAAGCACAAAAGAATTTTGAACTTGTATGCTTTTATTGCATCACTTCAGGTCATAATGTATGTATTTTTTTCAGTAAGACTTTAATATGAATTGTGATCATTAAGAATGTTTCGAAATAATACTAAGCCATAATGAATTTATATCATTTTAAAGAAAAACTCAAAAATTTAAACTAAGAAAACTTTAATACTTCAAACACATTTTAAAAACCTCAAATTCAAATATTTTATTTCAGTAGTGACGTACTTAGAAGTGCCAGTCAAGATGACGTCACATCCATATATTGTAGTAATACAAGCTGAACCAGTGAATCCGTTTTCTATGATGCCTGGATTGATTTCGGAAGGAAACGGTATTTATGGATAGCAATGAAAGAGTTCTTTGTAAAAGAATATTTCATCAATGATAATTTTCAAAATGCGAGACAATACAACAATTTTTCATTAACTTTCCTCTTTTTAAGGAATGAAATAAATAGCAACCTATTTTATACTGTATAACCTGGGATGGGACAATTAACGCTTTGTAAACCGGAAAGCTATTCATAAAAGAGCGTAAACTGTTCCAACCCAGGTTATAGCTGTATTACTTGGGTTGCTTTTTAATTAATTCCTTTTAATTTTTTTTTAACATTAAGTATAGAATACAAGACAAGTTCTCCCTTAAAAAGTCTTCAAATAATTGTTCATATTTTAAACGTAACGTCAAGCGAAAAGATACATTTTGACTTAAGTGACGTAAGCAATCCAGGTTATACAATTTAAATAATTTTTTTTATCCACTCAAATGACGTGTTGCAACCAAAATTAAATTATATCCGATTGCTTTTTACTAGTATGTCTTTCTATCAACAGGAATGCCTGCATGCCTTAAATGTAGTTCACAAACTTGAAGTCTGACGTTTGCATTCAATGCTTCTCATGTTCGCCTTTGGGTTAAGTCCACAGGTAAGATATATATATATATATATATACCTATTTGAACGAATTAATTACGATATATATATATATATATATATATATATATATATATATATATATATATATATATATATACTTAAATAAATAAAAACAGAATGCTGCAGTCCAAATTAAATAAAATCTTTACTGTTAGCGCTTTCAGCCATGTTGGCTCTTCAGACAGTTATAAAAAATTCAAAACGTTGTCAATAACGTTGCTAATGACGTCGTGAAAATTTAAGTCATTATGACGTCACAATGTAGTTCGTGGTAGCGGCTGCATGAACTTTTTCAACGCAGTTAAAGAATGTATAATTAAAGCATAGAAATAAAATAAATTTTGTGAATTATACATAATCTCATTTGCAATTCAGTTTTGGTTTAAAAAGTCTTATAAAATAGTCCTCTTTGGTAACACGGGCGATTTCATCCGATGTCCACATTTTGTAGAACGGGAAAATCTTAAATTTCCCTTTACCACATTCGGCGAAATGTTCTGAACAAGGGGTGCATCTGACAGTTTCGTCCCGTATATGTTGCTTGTGTACCCTCACTCGTGCGTTAAGCTGATTTGTCTGCCCTATATAATATTCGCCACAGGTTGGGCATATTGCACAATAAATCAAATTTGAAGATTTACAATTCATGCTAGTATTAGGTTTTAAAACTTTCCCGTTTTTAAGTGTAATTTGTTCGCCTTCCTGAATGAAACCACACGTTCCACATCGGGGGTCACTACACTTTCTGACGACACTCTGGTTGCTAGAGGAAAATTTTGCTTTGGTTAATATCCTCTTCAGGTTTGGTGCTTGTCTTCTGCTGTTAATAATTGACGACTTAACGCACGAGTGAGGGTACACAAGCAACATATACGGGACGAAACTGTCAGATGCACCCCTTGTTCAGAACATTTCGCCGAATGTGGTAAAGGGAAATTTAAGATTTTCCCGTTCTACAAAATGTGGACATCGGATGAAATCGCCCGTGTTACCAAAGAGGACTATTTTATAAGACTTTTTAAACCAAAACTGAATTGCAAATGAGATTATGTATAATTCACAAAATTTATTTTATTTCTATGCTTTAATTATACATTCTTTAACTGCGTTGAAAAAGTTCATGCAGCCGCTACCACGAACTACATTGTGACATCATAATGACTTAAATTTTCACGACGTCATTAGCAACGTTATTGACAACGTTTTGAATTTTTTATAACTGTCTGAAGAGCCAACATGGCTGAAAGCGCTAACAGTAAAGATTTTATTTAATTTGGACTGCAGCATTCTGTTTTTATTTATTTAAGTATTTTTTACTGTACCAAGAATTTAACTTATCAACGTATTCTTTGACTGGTACAAGATCAGGATGTCGCAGACAAGAGCCAAATCAGTAGCGGAAAATACCGGGATAGAAAGGATTTTAGAAGAAATTTCCGGAAAATTATCAATCCTTTGTAGTAAGTACGATAACTTTACTACTTCATTATTAGCTCTGGAGCAGCAAACTCTTGAATACAGAGAAAAATTGGACCTTTTGCTGTCACATAGAGAACAATTAGAGAGCAATGAAAATAGAGAAATACATTCTGGAGAAATTCCTAATACAAATGTGCAGGAAATATTTCAAGAGTGGAGCGATCTTAATATTGAAAAAGAAGCTTACAAAAAGAGAAACCAAATGAAAGGATTATGGTTCAAACTTCTAAACCAGAGAAAGCAAGCCTATTGGAATGCCATAAAAAGCGAAAATTTAGCCGACACCTATGAGGAATGGAAAAACTGTGAAAATGTTATTTTTCCTAGAAAATTCCGAGTAAAGGAAATAACAACAGAACCAAGTGAAGAAACCAAAATCCGTATCAACCTGGCACTTCAAAGATTTGAAGCCGAAATTACACTACTTCGCCTCAGAGTTCCGAAATACAAAAACAAGTATGAAAATACTGACGCCATTATGCTGGAAGAATTAAACAAAAGAAGTAGTGGCAACGTTTGTAAAAAGCTGATGGAGTTATGGAACAACGATGTTACTCGGGAGGAGGAAAAATCCAAGAAGATATTGGAAACAAAATCTGCATGGTTGAAACAATATGAGATCAACTATGGGAAAGAACCAATAAAGCCTAAAAAGATGAAAAGAGCACCGGCAATAAGAAATAAACAACAAAATAATCAGGGGAACAACAACCGACGTAGTGAACATCGATCTACTACCAGGAACAGAGAAAGTAGTTCAAAACGTCTATCATATGCGGATGCACTGAGAAGAGGAATACCACACCATGGACCCCAAAATAATTCAACGAAGTCGTCAGAACAATACCATAGGCATGGTCAAAACAGAGAACACGATCAACGCAGAATTGATCAAATTGCTAGGGGTAGAAATGCACCCAATAAAGCAAACAATAAAAACTCGTGGAGAAACTCAACACAAGAGACATATCAAGTTCCACGGAAGTCTTCTTTTAAACAGAGGACAAATCAGAGAGACGCAAGGAGTAAAACATTACCGAATTCCAGGAATTCTTTTTTAGGACAGGGTTGGTCCCAAACGAAACGGAAGAAATAACTAACTGTCCTGAAAATACAGAGAACACGGTTTCTACAGAACCCAAAATTGTCAACCTATCACAACGAGACTTGAATAGTGATGAAATAAAACTTTTGGAACATGGTTTAAAATTCACACCTACGCCAAAGTCTGATAAGGTTGATGTCGTCAAGGACACAGAAGAATTCTGCCGTAAATTACGCTTGAAGGAATTTTTTCAAAATAAAACCGATGATGATATATCTCTGGTTAAAAATAGGAAAGGTTTCAGGCCACCGCCTAATAGAGATAAACATTTGGAGGATTATATCTCATGTCTCAAAAAGGCAGCTCACTCCAACATGGCGGATAAAAAGGTAACGTCAAATATTCCAAATAATCAATATCAAGCAATGCAAAATCTTAAAAGTGACCAAACAATTGTCATAAAAAGTGCTGATAAAGGAGGAGCTATAGTAATTATGGACAGAGAACATTATAAAGAAATGTCCCTATCTCAACTCCAGGATAATCAGTTCTATAAGAAACTAGAGCAAAATACAGATCGACAAACTATGCTCAAAATAAAAAAACTCACAAAGAAGTACCAAGGTAATCTCACGAAAAATGAAATTGAATACCTTACGGATTTCGAAGTTAAAACTAGCCATTTTTATGGTCTTCCCAAAATACACAAATGTAAAGAAATCCAGGAAAATGTCAAGAAATGTAATTCTACGTACATTAAACTTCCTAGACCAAATGATCTTAAACTGAGGCCCATCATTGCAGGACCCGCATCTAGTACACAAAGATTAAGCAATCTACTAGATATAATCTTAAAACCACTGTGTACCAAAGTGACCAGTTATGTGCGTGATGATATGGATTTCCTCAACTATATTCCACAAACAGTACCGAGAGAAACATTACTTGTTAGTTTTGATGTTACCAGCTTGTACACTAATATTACGCATGAGTTAGGAATTGAAGCGATCAAATATTGGTTGGATAAGTATCCGGAAGAAATCGACGATAGATTCCCCGCAAACTTCATTTTAGAAGGACTTAGAATTGTACTAGAGAATAATAATTTTCTGTTTGATGATGAAAATTATCTACAAATCAAAGGTACTGCCATGGGCACCAAAGTCGCCCCTACATATGCCTGTTTAGTAATGGGATTTTTAGAAGAAAAACTTTACAACATTTTGCCGGAAACATTTGATCTAGAATTTACGCAGTACATTAAAGAGAACTGGAAAAGGTACTTGGATGATTGCTTCATCTTTTGGACAAAGAGTGAAGAGGATCTTACAAAATTCCATTCGGTCATTAACGAGGCTCGGGGGTGGCAGCCATTTTTAGACTATTTTAATCTCCTTTAAAAGGAGAGCTCCATATAAAGATATAGAAATTGATCAAATTTTAAAACTAAAATCTTTGAATTTTTTCTTTGTCAAATGATAGTTCACAGCTAAAGATACCGTATCTAAAAAAAATAAGTTAAATCTGGTGGTTAATTTGGGATTAATTTGTTGACCCTCCAGCCTCCTTAATGAGTTACACGATTCAATTAATTTCACAAGTGACATGAATCGTAACTCGCTTCCTTTCCTTGATATACTTTTAATAAAAAACGGAGAGGATATTTCTACAGACCTATACTGTAAAGAAACAGATACCCATCAATATTTGGACTTTCGCTCTTGCCATCCGTCACATACAAAAAGGAACATTCCATACAATATGGCGAGACGTATTTGTACAATCGTGACCGATTCTTCTCTACGCTTGAAAAGACTTCAAGAA